TAAGTATTTGGTCACCTACAAACAAGCAAGATTTCTGGCTCTCACAGACCTGTAACTTCTTCTTTACGAGGCTCCTCTGTCCTCCACTCGTTACCTGTATTAATGGCACCTGTTTGAACTTGTTATCAGTATAAAAGACACCTGTCCACAACCTCAAACAGTCACACTCCAAACTCCACTATGGCCAAGACCAAAGAGCTGTCAAAGAACACCAGAAACGAAATTGTAGACCTGCACCAGGCTGGGAAGACTGAATCTGCAACAGGTAAGCAGCTTGGTTTGAAGAAATCAACTGTGGGAGCAATTATTAGGAAATGGAAGACATACAAGACCACTGATAATCTCCCTCGATCTGGGGCTCCACGCAAGATCTCACCCCGTGGGGTCAAAATGATCACAAGAACGGTGAGCAAAAATCCCAGAACCACACGGGGGGACCTAGTGAATGACCTGCAGAGAGCTGGGACCAAAGTAACAAAGCCTACCATCAGTAACACACTACGCCGCCAGGGACTCAAATCCTGCAGTGCCAGATGTGTCCCCCTGCTTAAGCCAGTACATGTCCAGGCCCGTCTGAAGTTTGCTAGAGTGCATTTGGATGATCCAGAAGAGGATTGGGAGAATGTCATATGGTCAGATGAAACCAAAATATAACTTTTTGGTAAAAACTCAACTCGTCATGTTTGGAGGACAAAGAATGCTGAGTTGCATCCAAAGAACACCATACCTACTGTGAAGCATGGGGGTGGAAACATCATGCTTTGGGGCTGTTTTTCTGCAAAGGGACCAGGACGACTGATCCGTGTAAAGGAAAGAATGAATGGGGCCATGTATCGTGAGATTTTGAGTGAAAACCTCCTTCCATCAGCAAGGGCATTGAAGATGAAACGTGGCTGGGTCTTTCAGCATGACAATGATCCCAAACACACCGCCCGGGCAACGAAGGAGTGGCTTCGTAAGAAGCATTTCAAGGTCCTGGAGTGGCCTAGCCAGTCTCCAGATCTCAACCCCATAGAAAATCTTTGGAGGGAGTTGAAAGTCCGTGTTGCCCAGTGACAGCCCCAAAACATCACTGCTCTAGAGGAGATCTGCATGGAGGAATGGGCCAAAATACCAGCAACAGTGTGTAAACCTTGTGAAGACTTACAGAAAACGTTTGACCTGTGTCATTGCCAACAAAGGGTATATAACAAAGTATTGAGAAACTTTTGTTATTGACCAAATACTTATTTTCCACCATAATTTGCAAATAAATTTATTAAAAATCCTACAATGTGATTTTCTGGATTTTTTTCTTCTCATTTTGTCTGTCATAGTTGACGTGTACCTATGATGAAAATTACAGGCCTCTCTCATCTTTTTAAGTAGGAGAACTTGCACAATTGGTGGCTGACTAAAAACTTTTTTCCCCACTGTATCATAAGTTTAGCAAATTCGTAACATATAATACTAATTATAATTCGTAACATATCATACGAAATGGGTGATGGACAACCACAAATTAATACATACCATATGAAAGGTAACATATCATACTAAATGGAGTGTCTCGGATTTACATGAAGAATAATACGAAATGCTCTGAGACCAGGTTGCACATTCACTGGTACTTTGCCTGCCAGGAAAGGTAAAGGAGAACAGATAGAATCAAACTCTCTCAGTGGTAAACAGAAGCTTCTGGTGGTTTCTGAAGCCAATTTGGCATGTTGAATTGATTTTTGTTGAATTGATTTTCTGTAGTGTTTGAACCTCTTTGGCAATAAACTGTTATGACCCCAACGTTTGTGCAAACCCATGTTGTTGCAAACCAAATGTTAGACTAGAAGCAAGGGGATATGATGTCTAGATGCTTTTTACAGTTGAGATCAAGTTAAGGAATTGGCTGGCTGGGCTGATGGGACAGTGGATGCGCAGGGATTTCTCAGATAGAACAGAAAAGAAGATGCCCATTTTTGCGTCATAGGCTTACCCGTGCTAAAAAAAAATTGGGGAATGACTTAGAACGCATCCCAACCAATCACAATGCTTGTTTTGACCAACCCGTTGTAGAATATACATTTCGTAATGGTTAGGTTGTTATGAATGCACTGATATAAGTAGCACACGTGACATCCCGGCAACTTTGAGAAAATAACACTTTATATCGAAGTTGTGCCTGTATCTGCATGCGTATCTGCATGGTCCCATCTGATCTTGCCTCCTCCCGACTGCTTTCCATTTTTTAAGACATTTATTTTCATTGTTAGAGCGGCCACTTGAGTATCTGGTCAATATAATGGATAATCTGTGATATAATGACGAGATGCCTATGTCTCCGCCATAACAATGGGATTTGTTGTCCACAGAGTGGAACTGCGGGCTGTTGCCAGGATGTCACATTCATCCCACTTATATCAGTCGTGGTCAAAAGTTTTGAGAATGACAAGTATTGGTCTTCACAAAGTTCGCTGCTTCAGTGTTATGAGATATTTTTGTCAGATGTTACTATGGTATACTGAAGTATAATTACAAGCATTCCATAAGTGTCAAAGGCTTTTATTGACAATTACATTAAGTTTATGCAAAGAGTCAATATTTGCAGTGTTGACCCTTCTTTTTCAAGACCTCTGCAATCCGCCCTGGCATGCTGTCAATTAACTTCTGGGCCACATCCTGACTGATGGCAGCTCATTCTTGCATAATCAATGCTTGGAGTTTGTCAGAATTTGTGGGTTTTTGCTTGTCCACCCGCCTCTTGAGGATCGACCACTAGTTCTCAATGGGATTAAGGTCTGGGGAGTTTCCTGGCCATGGACCCAAAATGTCGATGTTTTGTTCCCCGAGCCACTTAGTTATCACTTTTGCCTTATGGCAAGGTGCTCCATCATGCTGGAAAAGGCCTTGGTCGTCACCAAACTGTTCTTGGATGGTTGGGAGAAGTTGCTCTTGGAGGATGTGTTGGTACCATTCTTTATTCATGGCTGTGTTCTTAGGCAAAATTGTGAGTGAGCCCACTCCCTTGGCTGAGAAGCAACCCCACACATGAATGGTCTCAGGATGCTTTACTGTTGGCATGACACAGGACTGATAGTAGTGCTCACCTTGTCTTCTCCGGACAAGGTGTTTTCCGGATGCCCCAAACAATCGGAAAGGGGATTCATCAGAGAAAATGACTTTACCCCAGTCCTCAGCAGTCCAATCCCTATACCTTTTGCAGAATATCAGTCTGTCCCTGATGTTTTTCCTGGAGAGAAGTGGATTCTTTTCTGCCCTTCTTGACACCAGGCCATCCTCCAAAAGTCTTCACCTCACTGTGCGTGCAGATGCACTCGCACCTGCCTGCTGCCATTCCTGAGCAAGCTCTGCACTGGTGGTGCCCCGATCCCGCAGCTGAATCAACTTTAGGAGACGGTCCTGGTGCTTGCTGGACTTTCTTGGGCGCCCTGAAGCCTTCTTCACAACAATTGAACCTCTCTCCTTGAAGTTCTTGATGATCCGATAAATGGTTGATTTAGGTGCAATCTTACTAGCAGCAATAACCTTGCCTGTGAAGCCCTTTTTGTGCAAAGCAATGATGACGGCACGTGTTTCCTTGCCGGTAACCATGGTTAACAGAGAAAGAACAATGATTTCAAGCACCACCCTCCTTTTAAAGCTTCCAGTCTGTTATTCTAACTCAATCAGCATGACAGAGTGATCTCCAGCCCTGTCCTCATCAACACTCTCACCTGTGTTAACCAGAGAATCACTGACATGATGGCAGCTGGTCCTTTTGTGGCAGGGCTGAAATGCAGTGAAAATGTTTTTGGGGGATTAAGTTCATTTTCATGGCAAAGAGGGACTTTGCAATTAATTGCAATTCATCTGATCACTCTTCATGACATTCTGGAGTAAATGCAAATTGCCATCATCAAAACTGAGGCAGCAGACTTTGTGAAAATTTGTATTTGTGTCATTCTCAAAACTTTTGACCACGACTGTACTCATAACAACCTGGGCCCGGTTTCCCGAAAGCGATGGAATTTAGGCTTACGAGTGTTTTAACAATGCATCTTTCCTACAACAGTCGAAGATGTAACATTCGTTTCCCAAAACACCACGCAGAGAGAACAGTCGCTAAGAGCGTAGTTGGAGCGTTTGTCGATGCTGATAGGATCGAAAGATCAGGATTCTCCTGTCAAAGCTTTCCTTAACATTATAATTATTTCACAATACTGACGACGGATCAGCTCCTAGAGAAATATTAGGCCTACCTCCTATGGCTGCAAATATTGAGGTGGCTTATTCTAATGCTTACCCAATCAATAAAAATGCACTAAATAACCGATTTGGCACATCATTGCGCACATGCTAGGCTACACATCATAAAATATATTGAGACAAATTACAGACAAGTAGCAAAATATAACTAAATTGATTGAACATGGAATGTATTTCAATATGATTTAAATAGGCCTTTAGCCTACTGTTTATATTTTAATGCAGTCATCTCGGTTTTCATTTGAAGCATATTTTTATACGTCGTTTGGTTGTTGCATGGTAACTTTGAATGTGTAGTAAACTTTGTTCTGAAGTTATCGGCGGTCACAGAAACGGATAAACCATGTGATTCAATGTTTAGCGGGATATTCTGTGTATGAAGTAATGCGAGAGAGCAAAAAAAGCATATAACGACGCACTTAGCAGGTGTTAGATTACGAGCGTTTTCAAGTTCAACATTAATACCAATGGTTTTGGGAAACAGCTCGGACATTTAACGATGATCCTTAGAAGGTTCTAACGATTAATTTAGCCTTACTATGCTTTTTGGAAACCGGACCCTAAGCATTACGAAACGTCTATTAGATCAAATAATCCTCGTATCAAAATAGCAATTAATTGACTAAATTCGACACTCTCATTGCCCCCCATTCGCCTCTTCCTCTCTGATTACCCGAGAAGGATGACGTTGGCCCACCCCATACCCAACTGCGTTCCTCTCAGTGCACCTGGTCAACGTTTCCACCCCCACGTTTAATATGGTATAGTCCAATGCGGCCGACAGTGACGTCTGTGAATTTCTGAATAAATACCAGAGCGCCACAAGTGAACGCGTGGATTTAACTAATGGATGAGAAGTCGTATGTGAACACCAGCACGGGGAACTAATCATTAAAATACGCATAATTTAGCTAGCTACAACATTTCTTTATTATATCTGCCAAAAAAGAGCAACAATGATGAATGGAGAGATTAACGGTTTTCACAACTCCCTTATCGACGAGGACTGCTTCCTATTCACCTCGGAGTCAGTTGGAGAAGGACACCCCGGTGAGAACTAATTTAGGCACAAATACAGCCAATGTGTTATGGCTTGGCAGCTATTTGTTTAGATAGCTAGTTAGCACATGCGCGTCGGTGTTCCTTAGCCTTCTTAGGTAGCTAATTATCGTTAGCGAGCTAACCATCTCTGCTGATCAAACCACGCCGGCGTCAGCATCTTGCATAAGCCGCATGTGAGGCCCAAATTGTTCTTAGTTTATTAGCTAACCAGCCTGCTACTTTGCTGAGCGTTGGTCACATGGCTTCTATTGTGCAATTACTATCCGTCCTTGGGATAGATTGTCGTTACACATTTGCATCCTGTAGTCGTTGTCATAAGCATGCTTATTTCAAGAGCGCTTTTGCCCAGCCAGAGCCCCCTGCAGATCTCAATATTCAGACCAGTTTGCGCGCGCGCTCTCAGGGAACAAGGCCATATGTGTTGTCTGTGTATAGCGTTTGGTTGCTATGCAAGGGGCACTGAAGTGGATTCATTAAGAGTTCCGTGCCACTCCTTGTCTATACTGGTCGTAGTTCATCTTGGAAATCCAAACAAATCAGATTTTTAGTTGCATTTGAACTCGCGGAAATGGTGGCGGATTTATGCTAATCGCACGGCTACACCAATAAAAATAAATAAAAAATAACTGACCCAAGATGGACCACGATGGTCGTTTTTCCAATGTTAGCAAATTAACCATAATGGGCAGAACAAGCAATCAGGTGAGCTGAGCGGAGCCAAGGATACGCTAGCGACAACCTATCGGCGCGTTCTAGCATGTATTTGCATAATTCCGTTAGGGAACGCCTACTCTGAAGTGCGCGTGTGCAATAACTCAATTCATCCTTGTTTTCCTATTAAACAACTCAATTTTTGGGAACTTTGGCAAATGGTGAAGTCTACAAAACGTAGTCCACTCTGTTCAAAACAGATTATAGTTTTGGGAACAGAACAAATGTTTAATCCACGAGAATTAGCAGAATGTCGGCCAAAATCTTATTTTCTCCCACTGGGCTTCCCCCTCCTCACCATATTTGGTGGTGAGTGGAAACGCCAACTGGATGCTTCAGACCAAAGAGACAGATGTATAAATCTCTCTGTGGCTACACATACCGCTAGGCCCCTCCCACCATCGCCAGAATCCTGACATATGGTACAGCATGTGTACAACTCTAGAACTGCAGTTTGTAGAGCACTGTGTACAATACAAACATGTCCAGCATAATCCAAACCCATTGGAGAAGAGCACTTTAATTATTACCATTTGTGCCATGCTTTATGTGCTCTTGAACAAGCAACCTACCAGTAAATTGCACAAATGTCAGTGTAGGATTGTGAACTGGTACCATCTGTATTCTTCATTTTACAGATAAGATTTGCGACCAGATCAGTGATGCAGTGCTTGACGCCCATCTCAAGCAGGATCCTGATGCTAAAGTTGCTTGTGGTAAGAAAAAAGCACATCCTTCCTCTGATACAACTTCTAGCTGCACTGGAGTCAGCTGTGACCACATGAATGGAAGCATCTCAATAAACTCTGCATCTTCTTAATGGTAGTAGGCCTATATTATGGCACAACTCCCCAGAGTTTTGACAGGTGAGTATTGATTGATATGCTTTTTCTGGAAAGATATGGTTCTAATGTACTCTTCCCCCTCCACATTTTTCAGAGACTGTTGCTAAGACTGGGATGATCCTGCTGGCAGGTGAGGTGACGTCGCGTGCTACAGTGGACTATCAGAAGGTTGTTCGCGACACCATCCGCCACATTGGATACGATGACTCCTCCAAAGGTTTTGACTATAAGACCTGCAACGTGCTGGTGGCCCTAGAGCAGCAATCTCCAGACATCGCCCAGGGTGTTCACATTGACCGCAATGAGGAGGACGTAGGGGCAGGGGACCAGGTATGACTTGGGGTGCAGAGGACCACTGCAGTAGCGACGTTAGCTGTACATTTATCAGACTGCTAAATATGCAGCTTTCCTTTCAGATTTAGAAGTTATACTTTTTCAATTGTCAGGGCCTGATGTTTGGCTATGCCACTGATGAGACTGAGGAGTGCATGCCCCTCACCATTATGCTCGCCCACAAGCTCAACGCCAAGATGGCTGAACTGCGTCGCAATGGCACCCTGCCCTGGCTCCGGCCTGACTCCAAGACCCAGGTAAGCTGCCTGTGTGCAATTGATAGACTATTTACATGAGGCTAAATTGAGAATGCTGAAATGCCTATATAACTAGTTTGTCCTAGTCTATCACACCTTCTGATGAGTGCAATATTACTTTTCTTACTCAATCTCTCCAACCTTGTTTGGGGCCAGCAGTAACTCCAGCATATAACTAGTTTTAGGTTGTTCCCCTGCTCAGACATTGCTGAAACATGCCAGACCTTACAATGCCTGGATTGGTATTTTACGTCTCGGCTAACTACATCATATATTTTTGCATTCTAGTGCCTGACGGCACAGTCGATGATTAGCATGCAACCATTGGTTGACGCATGCAATGTCTGAGTAAGGGAAAGCAACCTTAATCTAGGCTTGCTGTTGAACAATCCTGCTGAATCTGTTTCTTTGTGCAGGTGACAGTTCAGTACCGCCAGGACCGTGGTGCCATGTTGCCAGTGCGTGTCCACACCATCGTGGTCTCCGTGCAGCATGATGAGCACATCTGCCTGGACGAGATGCGCGACGCTCTCAAGGAGAAGGTCGTAAAGGCTGTGGTGCCCTGTATTTACCTGGATGACGACACTATTTACCACATGCAGCCCAGTGGGCGCTTCGTCATCGGAGGCCCACAGGTGAGACTATAAGTCAGGGTTCGTACAGTCATAAATCCTGGAAAAGTCATGGAATTTTAAAATGGTGTATTCCAGGCCTGGAAAAGTTTAGGAAAATGATAAATATCTGAAAAGTTTTGGAGAAGTCATGGAAATGTGTCTCATAATTTCTGTTAATGTAATTTTATTTAGGCCGTTTAAAAAATATTTTATAAATAAAATCAACATAGTAGAATGATACACATCTGTTTCCCCCAAAAAAATTTCAACACTCGCGAATAAGGCCATACAAAGTTTATTTACTTTTTTACCGATTCATTTAAATGATACTTTTGACTAAACGAACAATTCACTTCGCCATTATATTAGTTGCGATTTGGTTCAATCACGGTGAATCGAATCATATGAATCAAAATAATTTTGTCAATCGCAAACAGTCATTTTAGGAAAATATTTGTAGCCTTTTGGATTATGTGGCTTCAAATTGTTTGGTAGACACTTCCAGTTCATTTGGGCATCCAATGTATGGGACATTTCAACTCAATAGCTGCTAGTCAGCCTGCAAAGTGAACACAAAAAAAAAAAATGTTACGGTAGCTAAATATGACTAAACTCGACGGTACATTTCCTGAAGAGAATTTGTGTGCTTGCTTCAGCTGAAATAAAAATATTTGTAGCCTACCATAGCCAATTGATCTTTGACATTTGAATGAGCGAATTATTTCAAAAGGCATAAAACAAATTTGGTTCAATGTTATACATCAAGGGTGGTGAACCATCCTCCAGGAAAGCTAATTGGTCTGCAGGCTTTTCTTCCAGTCCCGTCTAACAAACCACATTTTAGAAATTCGCTGCTCAACTGGACCTTGATAAACTGGCTCTGTTTTGAGCAGGGCTTGATCAAAAGCCTGCACACCCAGTAGCTCTCCAGACTGCTCAACTGGACCTTGATAAACTGGCTCTGTTTTGAGCAGGGCTTGATCAAAAGCCTGCACACCCAGTAGCTCTCCAGACTGAGGGTTGACCACATGTTTTATACAGTTGCCTAACAGGTATTCTACTTTGTTGGGGGAGTGTGTGTAAGTGCCTTGTGCAACGAGAGATGGTAAATGGGATCAGAAATCAGCCTCCCAGTGTCTACCCCATTATGCTTACTAATTTATATGTACATATAGATGCTGCCAATTGTTGGTCATGGAAATTTGGTTAAGTCATGAAATTAGGAACCATAATAAGTGGTGGTTGTAGGACTGGGCATCTAGGACCTGTACCCTGTGCTTGAAGGGGTCAACACTAAAGTAACTTTGATGCATGGGGTTGTTTAACTGTTCATATAAAGCATTTTTACATGATATTTGATCCATATTTTTGATTACTGTCAATTATGTTCGGGTAAATTGAAAAGGAATGAGCATGAACCATTCCTCCTTCCCCTGCAGGGTGATGCTGGCCTGACGGGCCGTAAGATCATTGTTGACACTTATGGAGGCTGGGGGGCCCATGGTGGAGGAGCCTTCTCAGGGAAGGACTACACTAAGGTGGACCGCTCTGCTGCCTACGCTGCCCGCTGGGTGGCCAAGTCTCTGGTGAAGGCGGAGCTGTGCAAGAGGGTCCTGGTCCAGGTGAGGGCAGGGTGATCCTAATAAGGATCATTTGGAAATATTCAGACCCCTTCACTTATTCCACATGTTACATTTAGTCTTTTAAAATTGATTTAAATCCTCAATCTACACACTACTCCATAATGATAAATAAAAAAATCTTTTTTATTTTTTATTTACTGATACCTTATTTACATAAGTATTCAGATCATTTGCTATGAGACTTGAAATTGAGCTCTGGTGCATCCTGTTTCCATTAATCATCCTTGATGTTTCTACAACTTGATTGGAGTCCATGTGTGGTAAATTCAATTGATTGGACATGATTTAGAAAGGCACACAACTGTCTATATAAGGTCCCACAGTTGGCAGTGCATGTCAGAGCAAAAACCAAACCATGAGGTGGGAGGAATGGTCCGTAGAGCTCCTAGACAGGATTGTGCCTGGCCAAACTGAGCAATCTGGGGAGAAGGGCCTTGGTCAGGGAGGTGACCAAGAACCCGATGGTCACTCTGACAGAGCTCCGGAGTTCCTCTGTGGAGATGGGGGAACCTTCCAGAAGGACAACCATCTCTGCGGCACTCCACCAATCAGGCCTTTATGGCAAAGTAGCCAGACTGAAGCCACTCCTCAGTAAAAGGCACATGACCGCCCGCTTGGAGTTTGCCAAAAGGCAACTAAAGGACTCAGACCGTGAGAAACAAGATTCTCTGGTCTGGTGAAACCGAGATCGAACTCTTTGGCCTGAATGCCAAGCGTCACGTCTGGAGGAAACCAGGCACTGCTCATCACCTGGCCAATACCATCCCTACGGTGAAGCGTGGCGGCAGCATCATGCTGTGGGGATGTTTTTAGCGGCAGGGTCTGGGAGACTAGTCAGGCTCGAGGGGAAAGATGAACCGAGAACTACAGATCCTTGATGAAAACCTGCTCCAGAGCACTCAGGACCTCAGACTGGGGTGACGGTTCACCTTCCAACAGGACAACGACCCTAAGGAAGCCAAGACAATGCAGGAGTGGCTTCGGGACAAGTCTCTGCATATCCTTGAGTGCACCCAGCCTGAGCCCGGACTTGAACCCGATCAAACATCTCTAGAGAGACCTGAAAATGGCTGTGCAGCGACAGTCCCCATCCAACCTTACAGAGCTTGAGAGGATCTGCAGAGAAGAATGGGAGAAACTCCCCAAATACAGGTGTGCCATGCTTGTAACGTCATACCCAAGGAGACTCGATGCTGTAATTGCTGCCAAAGGTGCTTCAACAAAGTACTGAGTGAAGTCTGAATACTTATGTAAATGTGATATATTTCCCTTTTTGTAATTTAGCTTGCATTTCTAAACCTGTTTTTGCTTTGTCATTCTGTGTGTGTAGATTGAGGGGGGGGGAGGACTATTAATCAATTTTAGAGTAAGGCTCTAACATAACTGGAAAAAGTGAAGGGGTCTGAATACTTTCCGAATGCACTGTACATAAATCACAGGCGCAAAGGGGTGCCACAAAATCAAACCTAAAGTCCGATGCATGTTTCTATGCTCACGACTATACATCAGGTTGCCTATGCAATCGGCGTGGCCCACCCACTCTCAATCTCCATTTTCCACTACGGCACATCCCAGAAGAGTGAGAGGGAGCTGCTGGACATCGTCAAGAAAAACTTTGACCTTCGTCCTGGTGTCATTGTCAGGTAAAGTATACCCCTTTTGAATCTGTGTGCCTCTCTGAATCTGCACCTTCTGTCTCTCCTTTTACTCACACGTCCTCTATCGTCTTTCTGTTCTGCCTGAGCTGTCAGCCAGTGTTCAGAGATGGTTCTAACCCTTTACTGTATGATTCTCTACTGTGGTGTAATTAATGACATACCTGTTAGCTACTGCTGCTTTCTTTTTGACTTATGCGTCAATCAGGGCTTGTGATCAGTTTGCCAATCCTGATATTCCTGTCCAACCTGTCTCGCTTTAAATGCCAGTTAAGTACAGTATGTAATGCTTTGAGAGCTGCAGTAGAGGCTGTCTGATCTGTTAGATGGTATGTTAAATACCCAGTATAAGGAAGGGTTTCCTGCTCACATCCAACTGAAAGGGCATAGGTTTCTCAGACCTTGTTAAAGTTCAATGCCATTTATAAATGGGATTAGTGCGCTTTCAATCTCCAAGCTGCAGTCCCCACACTGCTCAAGGATGAGTTGGTTAGCAGGGTAAGTGTCAACGCTTCATCCCTTCCTCCCCCCACTTTACTAGCTGTCCTAATTAACCTTTCTGATTATTGCTTTCTTTCTGTGGCTCTTGACACTCCCTATTAGCTGAGCGTTTGGCTGAGTATTGATGCGTTGATCTGAGGTCATTTCCTGTGATGGGCCGCTAAATGAGTCGATTGTGTATTCCAGGGAGCTGGAGCTGAAGAAGCCCATGTATCAGAGGACCGCTGCCTACGGCCACTTTGGCCGCGACTCATTCCCATGGGAGATGCCCAAAAAGCTCAGATACTAAACTTGTGAAGCTTTTTCCCCCCAGGCCTGTTGGTGTATACTACAGAGAAGCTTACACGGTCTTGGGGGTGAAAGGCCCTTAACTCCCTTCCCTCTTAATGGCATATTAGAACCCTACCCCTTCCACCGTCCCTCAAAATACACCCCAACTCTCTTTCTACTTCCCCTCTCCAGTCATCTGTACTGTATTTTTGCTGTTGGTAGTATTAACTTGACTACTAACTTTCTCAAAAATATTTCAGAAAAGTAATGTTGAGAAGATTAATAATAGGAGGGTGTTGGCTAGCTACCTAATCTCTTCCACCAGCAGTCTCTCTCTGTCGACTCATCTGGTTTCACCGCGCCTCAGAAAGGGACTTGAATGGAGGCTATGACAGGCGCGGACGAAACAACTTCTGATTTTTAATTGCCAATCTCTGTCCCCCCCCCCCCCATCTAGCGCAACCCTTAGAACCTCCCCCCTACATTGTGGACTTAAATGTGAGCAGTGCAAGTGATTTTAACAATTTAAGTTAGTAAAATCTGAAAGTACGCGTTAGGGTTGGTCGACTACTACAATATTGAAGATTGACGGCTATAGTCGATGGTGATTTCGTGATGTGACCGATGTCTAGCCTATTTCAACTTCACTGGCGCCACACCGTAAAGAGCTGACCGGGAAGCCCACAGCAGGACCATGTCAAGTGGCCTATTCCTTTGCTATAGCCTGCATAACTACTTTCAATAAATGTTATAAGCAATTTACAGAATTCAAGAGCACAATTTAGACAGGGCTAAGAAGATGTTCTTGCTTGGCTACACAAACTCCTTGCTCTGGCCAAACGCTACGCCACACCCACAGACTTAGTTTGGATCGGCGTACCTCCCCAGCGATTTCTAGAACTCATTCTAATTGGTCCCAGAAACTGATGGGTTGGTCCAGAGCCAGAACGCACCTGGGTAAAGCGTCTTTTTTTCAAATTAATCATTTGCTTTGATATTCTGATTGGTTAGGTATGATCCAATCACTGACTTTGTTTTATACAACACCCCCATTTTGAGGTCACCACAAACGACTTCAACGATGGCATTCCAACTGAAGTATGTAGCGAACATAGCGCAGTAGAAGGTGAGTAAGGCAAAAGATTTTCACCAAAGCGGCACAAAATGTCCAGTCAAATGTTTATTTTGATCTGTCAGTGTCAGCTCTGGGCCATATAGCGCTGCTTTTTTTTTTTTATAGTGGAGCCTCCGGTGTGTCTATTTTAAAAACCTAATTTTATATTTGCTCTACATTTCATATGACTTTTATGCATGCTGGCTTTCTCCCACCACACTACTTCATGATCAATTAATTTATCTAACAGCGCTCTAGGCTGTCATAAAGTTAGTGTTTTTGAATTACCTAAACATGATGGACCTAAGGTAATGAGGTAGAACAAACAATAGAAAAATCGAACGAGTAGTTTTTAACAAACCTTAGTTGCGCGAAGCTTGCCTTTGCAAACCAAAAGCCAAATCCTACTAGTTAAAATGGCCTATCAAAAGCATTAAGACAAGTTTAAAGTTATGAAGAGTATTTCCAAAATAGGCTATTCTAATGGTGTTTAATGTCGTAAAGTTGCAGCTTTCAAATGGGAACAATTGTGAAAGTCAGTCTATAGATGATTCTCTATCAAAGCTTTATTTTGAATGACAAATATTACGGGGGGGGGGGCATTGTATATCAATGTTTTTTATGGATACTTGATCATGATAAGACAAAGGTTGACATTGCCCAACCCTAGTACGCATCTTAGAAGTAGTTTTCACTTATAAAATGATATGCCCGAACTCTGAATCAATTGGTCTTCCCAAAAATATGGTCAATGTAATATTTTATTTTGATCTAAAACAGCTGTAGCAGTCTCGCTCCCTTTACTGCGTCGACTTTTAAGCTGCGCCTCATTCAAGTCCCTCTTTGTTGTACAGTGTTACTAGGCTCTTTATACGGTAGCCTAGTCTTCCTGTCTTCCATTTATGTCTTTCACACTACAAATCTACGTATGGGTGGTCCTCTGTAGCTCAATTGGTAGAGCATGGCGCTTGTAACGCCAGGGTAGTGGGTTCGATCCCCGGGACCACCCATACGTAAAAATTTATGCACACATGACTGTGTTATTAACTCCTAGCCCCTGCCCAGCATCACTGAGAAACTAAATACTGCAGTTTGGTTATCCGGGCTTAGCTGTCCTTAAACTTGATCAGCTTTTGGAATATTTTGCTCCCGTTAAGTCTGACCTACCAAAGCTACATGTTGATATCATGTTAATTTACTGGTGCTACTGAATGAAGGAAGGGCCCCCTCCCTGCCCCTTAATCTTTTCCCTTTAGTTTACACTTCTTTCTGTTAGTCCCCCAACCCCTAATCCTTCTCCCTTTTTGAAGCTTTATTTCACTCCCCTTATCATTTGTGGAGGATGTAAGAACAGCACCGTTAAGGGTCAATGGTTATTGTGATTTTCAAAGAAATGCTATGCATTGCAGGCTGAGAAACAAGACCAATCTTGATTATTTTCAAGTCACGTTCTTGAATATACTCAGTAAAATCTGGGATGCCCCTGCAGATGTCTGTGCTGTTTTCTGACGTAATACAGAAAAGTCAGAAGCTGCTATGTCACTGCTAAGGCCTGTAGGGGTGTTGGTTATACTTGATTGTTTAAAAGATGTTGTCATTGGATTGTCTTTTTAAACTCCTTCAAAAGGTAGTTTAATTTCCTTCTGGTTTTTTTACATTTTATAAAATGGTTTAAGGTCAAGGTTCTTCTTCGTTGGGTATTGATGGCAGGTGTAGCTACAGAGAAACCGCCATCTTGATCCTGAAGGAGGGCCGTCTTTGCCACAATGAAGAGCTCTTACTATTGGCGAACACCTTTTTTTTTTTTTTTTTATATATATATTTATTTGTTCTCTGAAACTTGGCATGGATACAGAAGCAAAGGATTCAGAAGGCAGCTTAAACCCCAGAGTTTTTATTTTTGATCTCACATATTGACTTTACTGAATGCCATAACTAGGTTACATTTTCAGTGGTTCCGAAGTGTCATACAGAAAAGCTTTGGTCTGCCTCCACGGAACTGTCACTGGCTGATGTGATGAGTATTTTGGACTGCAGTTTTATGGGGTGAGATTGTATTGACTATACACCTCTGGTCAATACAATTAGACCATTCTCTAACACCCCCCCCCTTACTCATCCTTGCATGAAGAGACGTTTGGCTGGTGTGGTACAGAGAAACCAGCCTGGTTTACAAGCGGTCTCTTGTTTGTATGGATAGGGTTTCCCTTGGTGCTTTGTTTCTCCCTTTTTTTTGCCACTGAGGCTAGTCTTCTGGCTACTGTGAGTGTAAGAGTGCCTCCCCCTGTACTGAACCCCTTTCACCCCTCCTGCTCTTTATCAACATGGGTCCGACATCCTGAGGAACAGGTAGCTTGTCAATGCATCAGTCTTCAGAGGTTCGATACGGATTTCTCATGTCAAAGATCTGCAATAAATGTCAACTTTCCTTCATGAAGCATGTTTTTGTTGTCTCATTCATTGTCAGATTGTATTTGAAAAGTTAATGCACATTCATTAAATGTCTATACTCTAGCTAGATCTTTGTGCACATGGAATTCTTTGACCAGTGGTGCCACAAATCCATCATCAATAAGTAGTGAATGGTGTTATCAGAGTCTGGTCGATCATGGGTAGTGAATATGAAAAATAGCAGTGCGATTTGGCATCATCCCATGTGTTTCTGGGTATTTGAGCCATGGATTACACCTGTCCCATAACTGGGTCTGCAGCACAGATTTCTATTTATTTTAAATCTGAAATGCCTTAGGGACATTACTGCCCTCTTTTGTAATGGTCGTATCTTGCCTTGATAAAGGTGATCCCAACCAAGTCCCAAGTCTTTGGCAGTTTGTTATGGTGGCTTTGCCAGTGTTTCCCCAGCACAGTGACTCGTAAGGTCAAACGTGTATATAGTCAACAAACTGGTAAATATTATGGTGGGAAATTACACCTGTATAGTGGTTTTTGTGTACTGTCAATGACAGTATGAAGATGGGCAGAAATGACTTCTCCAATATAAATCCCCAATCACACTTGTAGGCGTCATATGTTGAACATCCTTTTTCTGTCTATAATGCTGAACTTTTATGGACTACTGAATCTCTTAAGACTGGGTTGTCCAAACTCTGTCCTGTTCCCAACCCCTGGGTGCATGTTTTTTTGCCCTAGCACTACACAGCTGATTCAAAGCTTGATAATGAGTTATTTGAATCAGCTGTGTAACCAGGACCGAGTTTGGGAAACCCTGCTCTAAGACAAAGGGTAATCGAAGTGGCCCTTAAACATCTAGGTGCGATACCATGTGACCTCACAGGACTACAAAAGGACTCTGCTGTCTCCCCCTTTTAGCCTCTTATCCTGCTGGACCTTTCTCAATGAGGGCGAAGAACCTCCATCTTCAGTAGGCTTTAATGGCGTGAACTGATAAGTTAGGAAAGAACGTTTTTGGGAATAGTACCTGTAATTCAGTACAGAAATTGGGACTGAAGAGCCCATGCACTAAACGGTCCTTGTAGGAAACTTGGTCTTTAAAGAGCTAGTGTAGCCTGAACGGTACATTTTAAGATTAAATCAAATCAAATTGTATTGGTCACATGCGCCGAATACAACAGGTGCAGACATCACAGTGAAATGCTTACTTACAGCATTTCACTGTGATGTCTGCACCTGTTGTATTCGGCGCATGTGACCAATAAAATGTGATTTGATTTGAATGTATCAAGGAACTAAGACTATTTAGAGCACAGCCTCTGCAACTCTAAGGTAGAGCCATCAGACAGAGCAACCAGCGACACGACACGAGGGACCATCCAAACTCAGAGGAAAGGAGCAAGAAACCACCAAGGAACCCCTCAACTCAGGACAAAGGAGGACACCACCATATTTCCTTTGTTCACCTCCATGCGGCCTAACAAGAGCCAAGG